GCAAATTTTAGGGCTACAGTTGCGAAATTTCGCAAAATGAATGAAGATAGAGTATTTCAGAAAGCGATGATATACCATCTACAAGCAGGGCAGCAGTATCTGACAGATTCTGTAAAGTAGCAGATAGTTGCAGGGAAGCATTAAATTATTTAGATATTGATGAGGAACTGGAATATAGTAGTAATAGGGAAAATGACAGATTTTTGTTTGACCTCGTCGACTTTTGTTTAGAAACAAAGGAAAAAGATGTTAGTGAGGAACTTCGTAAGGGATTGAAGACATGGGCTGTTAAAAATAGCATATCCCAAAATAGTTAGGTACCAGTAGCCAGGTAGTAGAAATTACATCTGTAGCTGAGGGGGAGTTATTATATTTGGGAATACAATATAATTTAAATTTTCCTAGCCAATGTAGAAAAAGGTTGTATAGATGGACTTAAATTGTATAAAAGTTCAATAGGACATTATGGCCGATTTTAGGTCATGTAGTAGGCATCCCTAATACATGACCTTTTACAATCGCTTCCTTCTCAGGAATGAGTAAGCCATCGAATGTATAGACTTTATTAGGGAGTTTTGTGAGGAAATAAAGTTCTTGCAAGAAAATCGAGTTAAAGTATGATCTAGGAAGAATTTGAAAGAGTTTAGTGTTAGGCTTTTTGTTTGTGACGCACCGGCTCGCGCATTTGTCACTGGTGTAAAGTCACACACCGGGCAGAATAGCTGCCCTAAATGCGTTCAGGAAGGGATTTATAAAGAGAGGAGAGTGTGTTTCTCACAAACCGTAGGAGAACTTAGGACTGATAGTTCATTTAGGAATAGAGTAGATATAAGTCATCATTTAGACAGAGGGTGAAATTTGCTAGAATCTGTAAATATTAACATGGTTTCTCAATTTCCGTTAGATCCCATGCATTTAGTTGATTTGGGGGTTACTAAGCAACTTCTTCAGTTGCTTGTTAAGAGAGGGAACGTAACAAAAGTGAATGAAAAAATATTATATATTGACAACTGCGTTCCCTCTGAATTTTCCAGACGCAGTAGAGATGTGGACGAAATAAGCAACTGAAAGTCCAGAGAATTTGTTAAACTCGGGTATAATTGTGTTAAAAGATTGCATACCGGAAGATTTCTATTATCATTTTCTTTTGCTACATTCCGGTATTCGTTTTCTAAGTTGCAAAAAATCTTGTAGAGTAGAATCCACTGTTGCTATGAATGAATTGTTATTAGTTATTTAGTAATTTTTATGAACAACATTTGGTCAGTTTCAATATTCATGGTCTTTTGCATTTAACTGATKGCGTTAAAAAATTCGGGCGTCTGGATAATTCTCGGCATATAAATTTGAAAATCATATGCAATATTTGAAACGTACAATTAATAATCCCAATAAGATTTTACAGCAATTATATTTAAGAATAGAAGAAAGAAAAAATTTTACAGATTCTAACAAAATTCCTCAAATAGATAGGTTTATTATTAATTGCAAAAAAGATAAAGATAGTTTATTTTTCAGCAATAAAATAGGGTCTTTGAAAATTATCAACCAACAAAACCAACCAGATACTTTTGGTTGTCTTATTTTGACAAAAGTTGGTGACGTTTTCAAAGAGCCTTTGGTGTCCTCATCTGGTTTAGGTATTCTAGTAGGTGAAATTAAAGATGAGGACATTAAAATTATTAAAAAAGTAGATTTAGAATTTAAATATTTTTCTATTCCAATAGGGAATAAATTTATTTTAATTCCTCTATTGCATAATTTSTTTTATAATTTTACATAGATAAATGGATTTTTCTTTCCCTATTGACACCTCTTCCTCGGAGAACATTAGTCCACGGCAGCGAGATGGTAAAATAACTTTGTTGTACTTATATGTTTTTCATTGTAATCATTTTAATCAGTTCTTTATTGGAGATGCAATTAGCCAATTTCGTATTGCCGAGCTCTATTCGTAGCATATGTCCACCCAACTCCAACACAATATAAGTGGGGATACTGCATCGGTACTGCAGAAAATTCTTCAAAGCCTTGGTAGAATAGAATCTCGGCAAAAAGACATGATAAATCGGTTATCAGCCGTAGAAAGCACTCTTGCTGAGAAGGTATTTGTTGAAATAAAATTATTATATTTTAAAATTATTTTAATTACTTTAAATTTCAGATGCCAGAACGTGCGGGGATCCAAGCACAAGGACAATTGTTGGGGGAGTGTAAGGTGCTCTCGGCAAAAACCCACCGCAGTGTAAGCCGCATCACTGGCGAAGGAGTGAGGGAGGAGCAGATTCTGCTGCAAAGCTTGCTCCCTATGTCGTCAGAGGAAACATTGCTGGAGGTGGAGGAGCACCTTACACACCAAGCTTACTCTAACGCTATGGTAAGTTTGCCTTTTTTTCCATATACATATATGTAATGGAGTATTATTTGGATAATAATCGACACTGTTGTTTCATCTAAAAATTAAGAGTTTTTTTTTTATTAATTGATGTCGATTTACACTATTTACATTTTATTTACCTCAAAATTAAGAGAAACGACATTTAATGTCAATTATTCCTCTATTCTATTTAAAGAGCATGTGCTTCTTTTGTCTGCTTCTTTGTATACGTCTTTTCTTCTTCTATTCTATCTTAATTATAATTTTCGCTTATACATGTAGTGACCTCGTTCGCTTATATCTTAAGTCTAGTTTTATAATGTACCTAACATCTACTGTTAGTAGATGTACAATGAATGGAAAGAATATCCTTTTCATTATATCTGCCCCCTGACTGAGTTTTTTGAAGTAAAAAAAAAGTTCAACAATTACCTAATCTCATCCTTAGGAGCTGGTAGTAGTTTTGATACATGGAATAAATTTGATTCCGCTTTTTTATATCCTGTACTTATTTTAAAGATACATTTTGATATTTTCTCAAGTAATTCAAAAGGACCGCTTCTGATTTTGCTTAATTTCTTTCTACTCAGTTTGTTACCGTTTTCTACAAATACTTTTTCTCCGATCTTAAATTCATAATCGACTCTTGATTTATCAAACAATTTCTTATTATGATTATGGGACCTTTGACTATTTGTAAACGCGATTTCTCTATCATGTTTTAGGTCTCTATGTTCTTTATCTAGCTCTTTTGGCAGAATTTTTACATCGTCACCCTCTAACAAATATTTTGGACTGAATTTTGTCACGGAATGCACAGTTTCCTTGTAACGCTTTGTGCATTCGTGAGCTATTGTTGTCCACGCAGTTTTTGTTTCTCCTTCATTATATTTACATCTTATCCTATTAATCAGCGTTTGATTTAGTCTCTCATTTAGGCCGTTAGAAAAGGGAGTATCAACCGAAGTGAATATTATTTTTATGCCTTTTTCCTGTAGAAACTCTTTAAACTCTGTAGAGTTTATTAAAGGGTATTGATCGGCTAGTATTATCTCAATTTTGTATGATTTTATTACATTCAAAAGGTTTTTCTGTTGGTCCTAAATGACACATTAATCCAAACTTTTCTTGGCCTCTAGTCTTATTTTTTATGCATATGGTACATTTCTTACAACTCTCTTTTATGTGTGTTGTCATATTTTTAAACGTGAAGTACGGGCTTTTTATTTCTTCTCTACCTATGTGACAATAATGGCTATGAATTTTCTTTATTAATGCAACACCCATGTTTTCCGATAGCAGAATTTTCTTTGTCTTTTTTACGCATTTATAATATATTTTATCTGTTAGTAGCAATTTTTCTTTTTTTGTTTGTAAATCTGGGTTTTTTTTCTGGTCTTCCAAGATTTCGTTTAAGCTAACGAGATTCACGATTTTTAGGGTTTTTTCTTCTTCCTCGGTTGGTTCGAGAACTGGATTCCGACTCAAACAAGCGGCTTCAGTATTATATTTTCCCGGATTATATTTGATATCAAAATTGTACTGTGATAAAAAGAGTATCATGTTTCCGAGTTCTTCATCTGTTCGTGATTTTACATTTATTTGCAACAGAGGTTTGTGGTCAGTAAAAATAGTGAGTCCCTTTCCCATTAGTCGGTATTGCCAGTATTGTATAGCCTCCTTTATAGCTAAACATTCTAAGTAAATAGCTTTCTTTTGGGTTTGACTTTTTGTCAGTTTTTTCGAAAAGTATGCAATCGGTTTTTCGTCCCCGTTTTCTTGTGGCTGWTTTAGAATCGCTCCGAGTCCTTGTATGCTTGCGTCAGTGTATATGTGTATTTGTTTATCTGGATCGAAGATCCCCAACTCTGGTTTTGAGCATAGAAGGTTTTTTATATCATTAAATGAATTTTGACATCTTTCTGTCCATATAAATTTTTGATCTTGTCGTAATAAATTATGCAAAGGTTCCAGAATCTTTGTGCTATCTTTGATATATTTGTGATAAAAATTTATTTTTCCAAGGAATTGACGAATAGTTTTTCTAGTTTTCGGTGTCGTAAAGGCCTTTATAGCTACTAAATTATCATTTATTGGATATATATATTGTTATTTTCTATTATGTGGCCCAAGTATTTTACCGAACTTTCCGCAAACGTGCATTTTTAAAATTTAAGTCTAAATCCTTCCTTCAATACAGCCTCCAGCAATTACCCGACGTGATTTACATGTTCATCGAAACTTTTAGAAAAAACAAGAATATCATCAATATAGTATACTGTGAAATCCGTTAGTTTATTTTTCCTAATAATGTTACTTAATATCCGTTGAAAAATTGCTGGTGCTGTTTTCAGGCCAAACGGTAAGCAGGTCCATTGAAAATGACCCTCTTGAGTTACGAAAGAAAAGACGCCTATCTGTAATCTTTAGGGGAATTGACCAAAAAGCAGAATTTATATCTAATTTTGTAAAATATTTGCAATTTCGCGCTTTGTCCATTATGTCCTCGATTAGAGGAAAAGGTTGAGATTCAGATATTACGATTTTGTTCAATTCCCTAATGTCTATACACAGTCTAGATTTCATCCCGTTTGTATGCTTCGCTATCTGCTCCTCTATTTCGTTTTTATCATCTATAGTACACCTATATGGACGTTTACTGGAGTATTTACCAACGACTAGATCTATGTGAGCTTCATAGTTCCTCACTGTCCCTATATCGTATTTATCTTTGGCGAATACAATTTTGGATCGTTCAAATAATTTATTGATTTCGTTTCTTTCTTCACATAATAAGTGGTTAATTTGAATTTGGAAACTTTCTTTTACTATATGTTCATTGAAGTTTATAACAAATCTCATATCATTATCCTTTTTTTATCGTTTCTTTTTAAATATTTTCTTGGTTATCAATTTCTTTTGTGTTCAAACAACTCTGTTTGACGTTTAGATTCTCGTCTTGAGTCAATTTGAATTCTTTTATTGAATCTAAACCAAGTAGGAGATCGTATTTGAAATTCATATCATTAGATTCCGTCCAATTCAAGAAAATCATTACGTAATACTTTTATTTTAATCAGTGGGGTCAAGATTAGTTTTTTGAACTCTCGTGTTCTAGTTCTACCTCTAATTCCGCGTTATTGACATGTTTGATTTTTTCATTTTTATACCCTGAACAGGGTATATTAATTTTGTTACGAAGTTTGTAATACCCAGAAGAAAGCGTCGGAGACCCTATAAAGTATATATATAAATGATCAGTATGTTGAGCTGATTCAATTTAGCCATGTCCGTCTGTCCGTCTGTCTGTATATATACGAACTAGTCCCTCAGTTTTTAAGATATCGTTTTGAAATTTTGCAAACACCATTTTCTCTTCAAGAAGCTACTCATTTGTCGGAACTGCAGATATCGGACCACTATAACATATAGCTGCCATATAAACTGAACGATCGGAATCAAGTTCTTGTATGGAAAACTTTCACATTTGACAATGTATCTTCGCTAGAGTTGGCACAAGTTATTTTCTATGGCAACAATATAATCTCCGAAGAAATTGTTCAGATCGGTTAACTATAACATATAGCTGCCATACAAACTGAACGATCGGAATCAAATGCTTGCATGAGAAACTTCCTCATTTGACGATATATCTTCACGAAATTTGGTAAGAGCTATTTTTCATAAAATAATGTAATATCAGAAGAAATTTTCAGATCGGCTTACTATAGCATATAGCTGCTATATAAACCGAGCGATCGGAACAAATGACCTGTATGGAAAACTTTCACATTTGACGTGGTATCTTGACGAAATTTGGTATAGATTGTTTTCTAAGACAACAATGTAATCTCTGAAAAAATTGTTAACTATAACATATAGCTTCCATACAAACTGAACGGTCGGAGTAAAATTGGAGACTTTTTCAGTTAACGAGATATATTCTGCAAATTTGAGGTGTTTATTCTCTAAGGCAACCCTACAATAGTTGAAGGAATTTTGCAGATCGGATAACAAAACCTGCCATACAAATTGAAAATCAAAATTAAGTTCTTATGTGACAAAAAACATTTCTTGAAATTTAGCATTGATTATTAGCCAAGATTCGCTTTAATCTTCAAAAGAATTGTTAACGTCGGACTGCCATACAAACCGACCCATCAAAACCAAGTTCATATATGGGCAACTTTGGCTAAATATCATCACAAAATTATTAATTACTTTTTTCATTAACCCTTTATAGCATCTTGTAACATATCTGTAACAAACCGGCTTTATGCTCACAATTGTTCGTATGAACATAAAAACCATATTTATATTAATGTTACAACACTGGTACAAACCGGTTTAAACACTTATTGTACCACTTGCTGTCCCACGTGTTTTGATCAGCTGTTTAAAATATTTGATTTCAAAGTTGTGCTGATCGTGTCAAGCCTCTATTGTGTAATTTTTCAATAATTCAAAAAAAAAATATAAAAAATGTAATTTAACGTTTGTTTTTTTGGTGGAGTTCGAAAGGCGAGTTCATTGTTTTGAACTACAATTATTAAACAGCTACAATATTTATATTTTTGTTATGTGCAGGTAATAATGCTTTGTGACATATCTGCAACATTGTGTTATAACGTGTATTTTTTTAGTATGACTAATATAAAACTGACAGAGGATGAAATCGAAAATATTCTTATGGATTACAAAGAAAGCGTTGATGGACTTGATTTTGATGACGATAGCATTGCAGATCCAGACTTTGACCCCACTGATTTGGATGATTTGTGTTTTGAAAACATAATAGAAGATGACGAATGTGAAGTTTGCCTATTTTGCCCATGGCCGTCAGTGAAAGTAATGTGCAGAGTGCACCAGGATCATCAGGAAATAGAAAAAAATCTAAAATTAGTGTGCTATGGAAAAAAAAACCTATCTTTGAACGAACATCAACTTCGTTTTACAGGAGACGAGACTCTAGATAGCTGTATTTTAGACCTAGATTCTCC